CAATGTCTTAAGAAGTTCTTATTTAATATCCTTTTCCATTTAATAAATTCGAATATACTCCATGGTCAGCTGACTTTGAAATTTTTATTTTCACACGACTCAAGATGTTATGAAAGTACTCAGCCGTAAATTCTTAGATATTGAATTCTTTTTAGGAAGTTTTATGGCAGGTGAGTTTATTCTAAAGATTTTTCCTACTGCAAAAATCAATTAACTTTTTGCCAAGCCAATAAACCCTAGCGTTTTCAAGCTGCTCTAAAAGACATGAATAAAAAACTAACAATAATAACACATAATTTATATCTGTATGATTGAACGGTAATTGAAATTAATAAGTAATATTAATTGTTACACGCTGTGGGCACTGTGCGCTTGCATTCTATATGACGTGCTTTACTATAAATGTGCTGTGGTTGTGGATTATAATATTGGTTCAGTTTTGCACAGATTTTATGATACATTGTGTAATTTAGGTAAATATCTTATATTTTAACTTTAACATAACCAGAAGAAATAAATATGAAAGCCAGAATCGTACATTTATTTACTGCATAAATATGGGATTTATATTGCACAATTCAAAATTCTTATTGCACATTTTGTGTCCAGTTGCACGTTAGATTATGCGCTGATGTGTGTGAGAGACACGATTTTGTTCACGTAATTTAAAGCATAATAACTTCTGTCTTTTGTCAAATATTTCTGAAATTTGGCAGAAAGGTTTGCGTTTTAGAGGGATTAAAGCTGTTAAATTTTGGCAGTTAAGTTCAAAGTGGTAGATAAATGGATGAGAGTTTTGTGTCATATTTCGACTAAAGTGGAATTTAATGAAGTTTTTATTCATTACTAGAATTTATAAGTTTTTTAAAATTCATCGTTGTTTAAAATGAATCATTTTGTATTTTATTATAATTAATTATATAGGAAAAGGGTGGGCAGGATGGAAGGTTTAACTTTATGATGTAGAAAAACATAAAACAACATAATATAAAGCTTTTATGTTAATCAGTTTCGACAGAGATCTTAGATGGTTAAAAAATTGTGTAATTAAAAATAATTAATATTAAGTATAAAATCTGTTAGGAATCATGAAGTAAAAACGTCAAAAATTTTATTTTGCTCTCACCCTGAAGGGAGGATGGAATACATATGATATCTCTACATTTTACAATTGACACAGAAACATCCATCTTTTGTGTCTGTACAGTACATAGTTCATGTGCCCAACCAGAACATATTGGACACTTTACCCAGTCCTCTGTGGGCGGTTTCACATTTGGTTCTCCACATAATACACAAAACCTTCATCCATCGACATCTGCATTTTCTTCAGTCTAAGATTCTCTGTTGCTCTTTCTTATATACTTGTTCACCATCTAAAAACAATTACATCCTCAATCTATACTAATATTATAAAGAGGTAATGTTTGTATGTATGTGTGTATGTATGTATTATGTAAGTTTGTTTGCAGCAGGTAATCTCCGAAACTACTCATCCGATTTCAAAAATTCTTTCACTAATATTTAGAATGGAATCTCAGGGTGGACATAGGCTGTATATTATTCCGATAAACATTCATATAAATTAAAAGATATAATCTAGGTTAAGGCTTTTATGTCCAACAGATGGCAATACAAGTACGACGCCCTAAGTTTGCTTTTCTGTGAGCCATTATGCTTTTCTGTGAAAATGAACTAAAGCAGATCATCTTCTATCTATCTATATAAATAAAAATGTGATGTTCGTTTGTTCCTACCGACTCCTTTGAAATTTTCACACAACGCTGCATTCGAATACGCACGTCTTTTTATATAATATACGTGTCGAAATTCCCCCCACTGAAGGGAGATGGTTAGGATTAAGGCTTACCGTAAAGAACTCTGCTTCTATTTATACTATTTTAGATGCGGTTTTTTGCGTTTTAAATTGCGTTTTAATAGGGTACGTCAACAGAACGTACACTAAGAAGGGATTTTTCGATATTCCCCCGCGGAGGAGAGGGACAGAATTAAGGCTTACTGTGAAAAACTTGGCTTCTATTATATTATTTTAGATGCGGGTTTTTGCGTTTTTGATTGCGTTTTAATAGGGTACGTCAAGAGAATGTACACTAAGAAAAAATTTTTCGAAAAATTTCCCCCCCACGGGGGAAGTGTTATACATTTATATAATACAATTTATAATATAATACATTTTGAGCCACAACAACGCGTGGCGGGGTCTGCTAGTTGTTAGATAAATTGAAAACAAATCAAAATAATTGCGTGCGGGCAACATGGAAACTATTAAATCTTGCCCTAAAACGCAATTTTCCATCTTGCCCAAATGCCTAATGCCAATAATAATATCAACGCTTTAAAAATCCTTGAATTTTTTTCCTCTTTAAATATGAATTCATGCAATCTATCCCTAATAGGTACTTTGTATAAAAACAAAATAGTAATACTTATCTTGTAGGTATAAATAATAACTGCAAAAGTTAAGTTAAAAGTTAATAACACTGCAAAAGTTCAATGATTGCGTAATAATCTGCTGCGAAATAAGAAATACTTGAACACGTCCCTTTGTGGCACCAAACGGTCTGAGTCGTCGTTCGCAAATACAAGATATCCGGGTGTCTCTGTGTGCATGGAGATTCGGGTGCTTCGTCGCGCGGTTCGGGGTGAGTAAGTAGTTTCTATCTTGCCCTCTTTTCCCCTAAAGTGTTTTTAATAAAATATTATAACAGATGGCAAATCGCGCAGTTTTGAACATTGTTACTGGAAACTTACTCAACCATAAAATATCCTCTATAACAATAAAAAAAATATATTTTTAGATTCCTCACATAATATTTTAATAAATATAAACAGATATATTAAATAAGTAAAAATTGTATGATTTATTATTATTATTTTATTGATTTTATTAGTAACTTGTACAGTATGTAAAACTATTTAAAATGTCTAACTGATATCTGTTGTTATAAAAACACATCATTAGATCGAATGAGAAAAAACTTCGATTTATTAATTGGTAAATGCAACGAAGTGCAAGACGTCACGGTCTGTTACATCTGTTATATCTTGTTACATGATAGACAAATAGATAAGCACAGTTATTAACATAATACTGTATCAAGTCTGTAGCTTCTTTTCTTGTCTTTCTTTCTCAACAGATGGCGGTACTTTGTAACACATTGTAAGGTTTATTATTTGTGATTATTTTTTTGTTGCTACGTTGCTATTATTATTATTAATAGTACTATTTTAAATTTCTTTTTAATGTTTGAATATTATAGTAATAAAATTACTAAGTCAGATTGCTAACCATATGGCGCTATTTCATAACATGCCACATTTGGCATCGCCATTTTTTATTTAGAATTTGCTTCACCTCATTTAAGAAAAAAACAACAATATCAAGATCTTTATTACTCCTTTTTCAAGGCGATAAGATTGCTGATACGGAATTAGTTAAGATTTTATTAAAAATAAATTTCAATAATAAATGAAAAAATCATGACAAATATAGTACTGTCCAATAGGGTTTAAAGAAAAAAAAAAAACTTAGAGAGTTTGTAATTAGCAAGAAAAGCTAGACTGTACTTTTCTCTTTGATAATGAGTGAGAAGGGAATAGCAACTTTGGTGTTGGTATTTTCTGTTGTGTTAAGTTTATACCATCGTTAGTAGATCACACACAGTAATCTACTAACAACGGTATAAACTTTTCTGAATCAGTATATTTATTGAAATTATTATTAAAATCTCATCAGATTAATTTATATAAACTCTTTATTTATTATTTTTTGTATTAGGAATATACAGTGTATTCGCTAAAACATACGAGAGCGCTAATATAGCTCGTGTGAAATCGAGCACCTGATTTTGCTCTAATTTAAAGCAATTTTTAGTCTAATTCTCCATCGCGATTGTTAAGAAAACATTGCAGAAAAAAGGATTGAATGCCCTCTTTCTCATCAACAAACGCTAAGAAAGTATAACAATTTATTGTTAAAAGAGGAAAATATCAACATTCAACCGATTAAACAGGATGAGTCTAACATTTCACAAACCAAAGATTACATACACTATATCTGTTTCGACGACTTCTTAGTTTCCCCGGGCCACCTATGATCCAACACCTGCAAAATCAACCTTTGTCTTCAAAAACACTCAATCACCTGATCATTTTACCAGGCCTAAAGAGAATATAAGGACAACGCATCACCGACTTCCACGCGATTGTCCCTTGGAATCAACTTCCCCGATCAAGCTGCCAAAAGAAGGCCTCTTGTGCTCGCTCGTCCTCACGAGAAAGGGAAAGCGAAAGGATGTTTCCCAAGATTTTGTAAACTCTTTCTTGGATTCATAATCTGTTATCGGAGAATTTGGGTAGCCCCGATAGCTTTACTGTTTGTTATACATGGCTTAATATTCTTTTTCGCATCCGTACTCGTGTAGCCTTTGGTTAGATTTTAGTTAATTATTAAAGTTTTACTTTTGCTTCTTTTTTAGTGGTGACTGTTACTCGTGTATCGCTCGCACTTTATCGACGGTTCCTCTCACTTTCTCACTCTACTTGACAAGCCGATCCTGAAATTCGGGAAACCGCGCACAGAAGAAACGCGCCATCCACAAACAACGTGAGCGGTTTTCGTCAAACCGTCGCCAGAAGAAGGGTTAACACTTCCATTGTTAACACTTTTCTTCTTAACACTTTCTTTCTTTACACCTCTTCCGCGGGGAAGTGTTAACAACCTCTTACCGCGGGGGAGGGGAAAATTTTGAAAAATCCATTCTTAGTGTACTGTACATTCTTATGTCGTACCCTAACTGTGTACCAAATTTCAACTTTCAACTCCTAACCGTTTGGACTCTGCGCTTATTATTATTATTATTATTATTAATTCATCTCGATTATATATATAGATTACGTTATTATTGAATACAAAATATTTTGTGTACATTGATATAGTAATACATTCATGAATGTTTATGTAAAATATTTTATTACAGAACAGAGATGAAGAAGAATATTAAACGCATCTTTACCTGTTGGTTTTCTCGAATTGGACATCATATTGGGTGTCATCCTCAATTGTACGTTTATATTTTCTTGACGATAACAATTGTCCTGGCAACTGGATTCTTCAAATTACGTATTGTGAAAAAGTCCGAATATCTGTATACTCCGATCAATGGAAGAGGAAAATTGGAACGGAATTCTGTCGAATCAATGTTTTCGTTTAAAACCACAGCTAACGTTGACATCACTAGAGCCAGTCGATTTGAGAATATCGGATCGTTTATAGTAGTATCTAAAAACAACGATTCACTTTTGAATGATAACGCTATATTAGAATTGGTAAAATTAGACAAAATTATTCGAAATATTTCCATATTTGAGAATAATAGTTTCTTTCGCTATGAAGATCTCTGTCTTCGATCGAACCAGAATAGATGTCCTAGCAATTTCCTGGCTTATTTAATAAGAAAATACGAAGATTTTAAACGTGGAAGAAATTTTATGAGGTATGTACTGTTCATTTTTTATCCTATATTAAAATTAATTTAAGTGGTGTTTTGTATGTTATATATCAGGGGTGGCCAACCTGCGGCTCGCGAGCCACATGCGGCTCTTTGAAGGATTATTTGTGGCTCTCGATAGATGTACCCGAGTTCCCTTTTCATTTTTGTGTTATTATATTTTAAAAAATTATTATCGTTCCGTATGTGTTTCAAAATGTCTTTTAAATTACTAACAACAAATATGAAAGACTAAGTGCAACGTTGTAACAAATTTCATTTCCGTCCAAGTTAAGAATGATATGACTCATCGAAAACTGCGCGAACGAACATAAACAGTGGCGTAATCGTCCGTTATCGACCGACTCCAGACCGATTTTGAATTTGTAAACTGTCATTGCAACGGACAGTTGACATTGTGCTCTGGAGGAAACAATTTGTATCACTCCTGCTACGGATATAATTTGTAATCTGGAATTTTTTGCATACTTTTTTAATACGTATTTAATTGCGGCTCGCGAAAAATTTCAAATTTTGAAAGATGGCTCGGACTATCAAGGAGCTTGGCCACCCTGGTTATATATAATCTCTTGATGTCAATTAAATTAAATGCATATTTATTTAAAATATAAAATGTTTATAGATGTAATTATAAAAGAGTCAGTGATGAAATTAGTGCATTAAAATTTTTTTTATTTAAGTCTTTTACGTGACGTAAAAGATTTAACAGAAAAATATAATAAAACACAAACTTTTGTTGTTTTCATAGCTTGTTTCATATTTACATTATTCATAAAAATATTATAATAAGCAGAGGAGAACAGGGCAGATCAAATTAAAACAAGAAATAGTTTGAAATATCCGCGCTGTTTCTTTGAGCAGCCTACAAAATGCATCGTCATGTTATATGCACTTGAGGATGGGGGCAAACGACTTGCTGATGTAATAGTACTAGAATGGCGGCAGAAGCATTGCAGTTTAAAGGATATTTTTCTGATTTCCGCAGGGAGGAATAACTTTTATATGTCAAAGTTGTTACTTTTGTTCATGAATACACTACTGATAATCTTTTCTTTCTATATTGGTCTATAAGAAGAATGGATATTATCACGCAGAATTATTGAAGTTCAGTCAAGGAACATCTTAGTGTCGTTTTTACATTAAATTTCTTTGTCAAAAAGATCATTCGGGGCCCGTAGAAACAAATGGGATTGCACAAGTTGAAACTGTTACAACATGCCCCGTATTTGTGATGCAATTAAAATCTACAAATCTTCCGTTTCTCAGTATGGTACGAAACAATAAGAGGAAATTCAAAGGAGAGTGAAAAGAAGGTACTGAATGCAGTCAGAAGTGTTTTGGAATCGAATGAGTTTGCTTGTGTTGTCGCAACGGCTAGGAAAATACCACGTGTAACTCTATATAGAGATGTGCAGAAAGATAAGAGGAATATAAATTACTATACAGCATTTTGGTAAAAATATTGTGCACATTATTTCTTTTCCTTTGATGTCATATTTGTTCTTCCTAACACATGTAAACAAAGCACCCACAACCGTCTTGGCCGTTTCACCAGCAATGTTTTCATGAAGATATATGTAGCAAATTGCAATTGAAAACGAAGATTTTTATTGATTCTCAAGAAAGCGATAAGTAGGCTTACCAGACGTCCCGTTTTGACCGGGTTTGTACCGGTTTGACGATGCTGTTTCAGCGTCCAGGCAAGTCTTAACATTTTGTCCCGGGTATTTGGTAAAATTTAAAAAGTGCCGAATATACAAGTAATAAAAATAGTGCAGCCTCGGGTAAAATGGCGATTTGGCAATTATCCCTTTGTTACACTCACTGTTTGGCAACAGTGACAGTAACAGAGGGGTAATTGCCAATTTAAATATTTCGTATTTAGATCTAAGTACTTTTAATGTCGTCTAGATGTTTTTACCCAAAATTTATAGCATGAATATACTCTAATGAATTTAGATATGTACTTTTTTCATTCAGATATTTTTTCATAGAATTTGTAATGGCATGTAGCCTGTGAAATCTGGATATTTTATTTCATTTTTTAGATATTTTGTTTTAATTACTGTTGGCAACAGTAAACTTACACTGACACGTCATTGCTGCGCATGTAATATCTTAGTCGAGTTGAAGTTGCTAGTCGACATTTGCAATTATTTCGTACTATAAAGTCCATTAATTTAATCTTTAAAATGCCAAAAAGAAAATGTGTTTACCGATGAGTTAAAAAAGGATTATCAATTTTTGATAAAAGTTTTTCATTGTATTGACAAAGTGAAATGTGAACTGTGCTCTTCAGAATTTTCAGTAAGTCATAGTGGCCGTTCGGATATTAAAAATCATTTGAAATGTGCGAAATATAAGGCGAGCCTAGTAGCAGCGGAAGGAACTTCATCGAATATATTGTCACATTTTAAAGGTAACGATTTAAGTGACAAAGAATTTGTAATAACAGCTACAGAAGCGACTTTTGCATTTCATGTTGCTATTCACAATGTCAGTTTTAAGTCAGCCGATTGTTCATCTAAATTGATTTCGAAGCTCTTTGAAACAAAGTTTAGACTAGCCAGAACGAAATGTGATTGAGCCACTGTTATTTCTGCAGCTTTGTAAAGATTTAAATAAATTTTGTGACGGTATCAGTAGATTCTTCCAACAACAAAAAAATTAAAACTGTGCCAATTATTGTGCGGTATTTTGTACCAGATTGTGGCGTAAAAGTTAAACTTTTAGACTTTCAATGAGTTTCTGGTGAAACTGCAGAAATACTGACATACCATTTAATGTCAGTTATTAAAACTCATAATATAGCAATAAAAATTATTCGATTTTGTGGAGATAATTGAAATACTAATTTTGGAGTGTTAAACGAAAAGAAGAAAATAATATTTACAGTAGATTAAAGAAGGAACTAGGAAGAAATATTGTTGGCATTGTTTGCGGTGGTCACATTGTACACAACTGCCTTTAAATTGCAGTTGATATTCTACCTATTGAAACAAAAGCTGTAGTGTATATATAAATTTAAAAATTTTTCTACATTTATACGGTTCGAGTCACTCAACTAAAACAGTTCTGTGAATTTGTAGATGTAGAATATAAAAAGGTTGTTCAACATGGCAACACCCGTTTTCTTTCGCTACTCCCAGCTATTGATAGAATACTTGAAATCTATGAAGGACTAAAATCTTATTTTATTTCACAAGGACAAGTAATGATAAAACAGTTATTTTATAATGATTGTGGTGAAATGTATTTCTGGTTTGTGCAGGTGCAACTCAAATTAACAGGGCCGGATTTAGACTTGATAAGTTATTTGAGATATGGGGCCCTTTATAAGTCCAGATATGATATGCCAGTGCCAAATATGATTTTCGGATACCTGGAGGGTTAAACTGAAATTGGGTGAAGAGTATGGGACGTTCTGGACGTGCGGCATTGGGACAAATAATGCTGCAGTATATTTAAGTATATATGACCATTGCTCACTCGGACAAGTTTTTTGGAGGCTCCCAAGAAATTTTAGGCCCTAAGCTATAGGTTGTGTAGCTTATACGTAAATCCTGCACTGCAAATTGTTTAACAAAGCTATCTTGATTTTGGAAAGTACAAACACGAGTTTGGCGACTGATATTGTCAGTGAACTTGGAAAATTAAAAACAAATCTTGAGGAAAGGCATGATAATAAATTTATCCCTTAAGGAGCGAAAGAACGTTTTAGAACACTAGGAAATAATGGAAGTATAATATCAATACAATACTACAACAGTTTACAGCATTTTATGACTGATGTCTTTCTTACATCAAGCTATGGGATAGGAAAGCAGTTTTGGTGGAGCAGAATCATTTACTTTGATAAATAACAACGAATTAAAATGGTCTGAAATTAAAGCTTCAGGTGAAACAGTTAATGAAACTGTTGCAAATAATACAATAAACATGGATCAACTATTTCATGAAGTAGTGATTGCCAAAGCTTTTTGGTCAGTTAAATAAATATAGAACCTGGAAAATGTGCACAGCTAACGAAAATACGTTTTTTCCCTTCGAAAGGTAGACTCAAAGTTGTGACTTATTAATCACTTGTTCCATAACATATATCTTAAAGACACTGTATAGATAATTTTTTATTTATTACATATGAAGAAGGCCGAGATTAAATTCATTTGGCTGCAATTTGAAAAAAATTGTAGACCTATAAATTTTTACTGTCGTCTGTCTGGTTGTCTGTCTTTACTTAATCTCGCGAAGCGAGTTAGACAGATATGAAAACCATAGGGAGAGGAGGCATCGTTGAACTATATATGAACTTCGTATGCAAAGGAAAGTCACGTTATTTTAATTCAAAAATTTTTCCCGTGAAAGGTGTTAGATAGATGAGCAGCATGACTGTATTGTTAAAGGAAAAGTATGATTTACAGGAACAAGTCAGTACTAATTTTATGTGATTAGAATATATTTTAAATTAAATGAGTTAAAAATATGATCAATAATTGTAGCCAGGCATTGTGAGGATGACAATAAATAATCGCTCGTTGTAAGTTACTTTACTATAAATATGAGCTGTCTTCTATGACAAACTTACAGCTATATCAGTCTTACTGCAATCTTATCCCAGTATTCAAGAGTCTAGATAAGTGAACAACTTTTCACTTAAATTTTTTATGAATTATTTGACAAATGCGTTCCGGTAAACATTTCTCTTCAGTGCTATAAATTCGATTGAAACTTACACAAATATAAACCAAGAACAGTAAAGCAATAAAGCATAAAACAAATAATTACATTATCCACAAAGTTCTATCTAATCCTTACTGCTATATAAGTTTATTATAGAAGACAGCTTATATCAATACTTAGTAAAATATAAAGTAATAAATTTTTATTTCAAATTCAAATGTTATCTATTTTTATAATATTAATCTATTGTTTTAAATAATTTAAATATAATATATTTAATATTTTATTCTTTTAAATAAAATTTTTACTTGTTATCTTCGCAATTTCATAATAACGGAATTAAAGACATTTTTGCACGTCATATTTAGATTCCTGTAGTAATCATACACGTTACGTTTATTTGCTTGAAACATCGCGTCACTGATTATATCATCGTATAACATTATATGTACTTATTATAGCCTGTTTAATAAAAGAAATATCGCCAAGTGGTGAATTTAATGATCCCTGCATGTATTTGAAGATGGAAAAAATGGGTCCACTCCTTCTATCTCTCTTTCCAATCTTAAAACACATAATAAAATCATTTATAATTTATTTTGTATACTAGTACTTTTTATATATTAACAAGACTTATTATACTGAAAAACTATGGATGCAGATATCTAGTCTTACAGTTCAAAAATAATGTTTTTATTTAGTTCACCTGTGAACTAAATAAAAACATTAGTTTTTCAGTATAATAAGTCTTGTTAATATATAGAAAGTACTAGTATACAAAATAAATTATAAATAGTTAAAAAGGACAAAAAGCATAATAATTAAACATAATAAAATCAAATTATTTTTAAAATTTATCTAAAATATTATTAGTTAGATAATTTAAAAATTTATATACTTGCAATCGATTTCAAAGTTTATAAGTCATGAGACTTTTGCTCCGTTTTAACAATATATTTTTATTTCTTTTCATGAAGATACCCATACGAGAGAAATAGGTTTCAAGTACGATTAACTGCTACTAATATTGGCGGAGTATCAACAAATGACGATGGTTATGTGCAAGATTTCAAAGCATTTTGTCAGTTTTATTTATTAAATGGTGACTCAATAGAAAAGAAGCAATTGGCTTTAAAATGGGAAAGAGCATATTTGAACACGTTATCATCTGTAACCTTTCAACATATTGAAGTTTTTATGTACTCCGGACAAACTAACGATATAGAACCGAACAGAAATACCGAGTTAAGTCTTCCACTTTTATTTATTTCTGGAGTTATTATGACATCATTCTCTTTCGTGTCTTGTTTAACGTTCGATGCTGTACGTAGTAAACCGTTGATTGGAATTGCTGCCTATTTCAGTCCCTTGCTGGGAACAGTAGCTGCCTTCGGTTTACTGTTACACTGTAATGTAGACTATGTTGATACGAACGTCGCTGTTGCTTTCCTGACCATAGGTAAGTGCCCCATTTTGATTTTCATAAATGCAAATTTTCCTATTTCTCTTTTATAAAGTATAAATATATATACAGTTTTACGAGTACAGATTTCATTAATGATGTATTAACTGCAAAATCTAAAACACTGACAAAATGATTGTGAAATATTAATATATAATACAATCGTAAATATATTCAATAGTAATTTATTGTATTTGTAATACTATACTTATGTTTACCCGGCTGTTATGGAACAGAGAGAAAATATTGAAAGTTGTGAAATTTGATCCTCTTGATCATCTGCATTTCTCGACCTTTTGACTGACATTTCTTAACATACTATCTAATGAAAATTTCTCCAAAAAAACTTAATCGAGGATAAGTTAAACTTGATTAAGTTAATCAAGAATAACGAGAATAAACGATAACATGGTAATTATTCAGAATGCGACTTGATTTATATCACGTATGTTTATTGAGACATCGCAAGTGGTCTGAATACGTGTTTACCTATTTTCTCCTGGTGAGGACATTCTATGGGAAACTGATCTTATTTAAATGTTGTAAAATATTGTTCAGGATTAACTAACGTCTTTTTTTTTATGAATTTTTATTAATTGATTGATGTGACCGCAGGGTCGGCACTACGTCAAGGTGCCACGTCAGGACTGGCACCACTATGCTTTAAAAGACAGAAATCGTGATAGCAATTATGTTTCGTTTACCGCGCGAGCGGTCGCCTCTGTAGGCGGTCGCAGTCGGAATGGAGAAGGTCCGAAAGACATCGAATCAGAAGAAAGAAGTTCACTCAACTACAACGTTTCTAAACAAATACCCGTTTTATTGAATAGACTAATTTACACTCCTTTACATACTAGCGTTAGATATATAGCTTGACATATTTAATAATGTTTTCGTACAGCGTAAAATATTTGACAAGCTTTTATATAAAAAGAGTATCATATTAGGTCTATAGCCTCGAAAGAGAGAGTTTACATTCGATCGCGAGGTGATCAATACCTTGGAATTTACAAAGAGATGAGCCTTTTTCCTTGGGATTTCTAGAGATGTTTCAGATTCCGCTAGAAATGTTTCGTAGATTTTCGCTTAGAAAAAATAATTAATCGTTAAAAAACATTTGATAATTAATTTCAAATTGTCACATTTTCATTTAATCAACAAATTTTTATTTTAAAAAATTATTATTACAAATTAGTACAACTTAATTTTAAAATAAATTTAATAATTAAATGGAATATATTAAACTTATTATTAAAATAAAAATAGTTAATTTAAAATTTAAATATATAAAATTGCTTGTCCTGACTGACTGACTGAATGACTCACTCACTCACTGATTCATCATCGCCCAGAGCAAACCGCTGAACCTAAAGAGGTGAAATTTGGTAGACAGTTAGGGCACGTCATGGAAACGCACACTAAGAAAGGATTTTTCGAAATTCCTCCGCGGGGGGAGAGGAAGAGGTTTAAGACTTAACTGGAAGAACGGCTTCTGCTGTACTATTTTAGATGCGATTTTTTGTTCTTATCTGCGTTTTAGTAGGTACGTCATGGAAACGCACACTAAAAAGGGATTTTTCGAAATTCCCCCTCGGAGGAGAGGGAGAGGATTTAGTCTTCATCGAGTACTTAGGTGTATTAAATTGACAACATTTCAGACATTTTTATAAATATTTTAATCTATTTCGATTTTAAAAATGTTCGAACCGTTTTAAATTCGAATTTGTTATTGCTTATAGGTTCGATTATAGAACGATTGCAAATGTTCCAGAAAATTGATCAAATCGAAAATAGTTCGTTTGATTCTCGGCAATTCTCATCATTCTCAGCGGTAGGTGTTATACAGGGTGGGCCAACGAAAACGAAACGGCAGAATTATCGTGTTCGTCCAAGCAAATCTCTCGGATAGGTCGATTTTATTCTCAAGGAGGACATCCGAGAGATTTGCTTGGACGAACACGATAACTCTGCCGTTTCGTTTTCGTTGGCCCACCCTGTATAACAATTACTATGGTTGTTGAAATACTGAATATAAATGGGGTTTGCTTGCAAAATCAGCTCGGGCAAAGCCGCTAGTAACAGCTAGTTTAATCATAAAATTAAAACTAAATTTTGTAAATTTTAAAAACATAAATTTTACATTAACAATTTGATAAAATGGATTAAATAATTGAATATAATCGTGATATAATATCGAAAATAGGAAGACAAGTTATTTGGTATATCAATGAACATTCTATATGGTCAGTAAAAATATTTATCGACATTTAGACATTTATAGGCACTGTAATAGACATTTTTATAGATTCTATTAAGAAGTATCAATTATCGGCGAAAGATCAATGGCAAATCAATTTTACTAGCAAAAAAATTCATGGATTAAACTTTATAGACAAAAAACCATTGGATATAACTGGTTGGATTGAACGTAGTAATTTACAAAAGTTATTAAATTATTTCACAGTGTATAACGAATTATTTTTATTTAAAATTGGACAGATAGAAAAAAATATTTTTAAAAACTGGAATTACAATTATTTAGACATCGAACTTTTTGCGATATTCTATCTTACGAACAATTCTTAATTAAACAAAAAACAGATATTTTCAAAATCAATAAATTGTATAGATGGGTATTTAATAAATAAGTAACAAATATAATTTAAATAATTATTATAATAAACTATTTCCTTATTTTACTATGTCTTATTGCTATAATATTATTTCAAATTGTCGTGTTTTAATTTATTCAGATAATAGAACAAGCAAAAAAAATTGCAAATATATATTAATAATTCTCAACCACATCGGATATTAGTACAAATTGTAAAATTATTATCTATATTACAATTAAATTTTCTGCAATGTAAAAACCATGCTGATTCCGTTCTTCTCAGTCTAATGGCTGCCTCATGTTCCTTTACTCTCAACTCCAATCTTCTTCCGGTTTCTCCAATGTAATAATTTGGGCTTCCACATGTACATGACATCCTATATACGACACCGGCGATTTTAAATTGGTCTCTGGGCGAATTTTCACTGTTTATTATGCTGATAATGTTTGACATCTTATTCTTTTGGCTCGCAACTATGCATACAGAAAATTTTTTAAATATTGGTTTATATTTTTCAAAAACTTTAGTAACATAAGGAAACTTTACATAAGAAATATCTTCTATGCTGTTTTTAACATTAAATCTACGTTTTAAATATAAATTGTACCACTTACAGAGAATATGCTTCGGATAATCATTTAACTGAAATTTTTTAAACAATTGTTTTACTTCGATGTCTATGTTTTCTTGCTGAGTTGTTCGATTTAGTATCTTTCTCAATTCCATATTAAAGACATTCTTTTTATTTTCTAAAGGACAGTAAGATTTAAAGTTAATAGTTTTACCATNATGTACATGTGGAAGCCCAAATTATTACATTGGAGAAACCGGAAGAAGATTGGAGTTGAGAGTAAAGGAACATGAGGCAGCCATTAGACTGAGAAGAACGGAATCAGCATGGTTTTTACATTGCAGAAAATTTAATTGTAATATAAATATAAAAAATACTAAAATTTTGTATAGAATAGAAAATAACTTAGAAAGAAAAATTGTAGAACATTTCTGTATCGCCGAACATGTAAATTTACTTAATTTGAATGCTGGAATGATTGTTGATGCATGCTGGGAACGGCTGTTGGGTATAAAACGTAACCAACGAATAACATCCTGATGTATCCACTGAGGAGGCCTAGATGGCGAAATGCATATGGATAAAATTAATAAAATAATGATTGTTCCTTGCTACTTGTTTGTCTTGTTTTGGCTCATAGAATCCTCGAAGTCGGAAATAGAAACAGTATAATTTTTACTTGTTTTTTAACTAAAAATTTTTTATTTTTAGTGTGTTAATATTACCACCGATCCCATTGGTTTTAATAATTGAATTTATATTTAAAATTATTATCGCAAATTAATTTTATATGAAGCAATGAATTGAACTGTAAAGTTTTCTAAATATGAAAATATTTTCTTAAATGAATTGAACAGTTTCTTAAATATTATAATTATTTATAATCTTAATTTACTCAAAAAATTTCTGATCTGAAAATAATTTATATCCTGAAAATTTCATTTTAAATTATTACGTGCGGAAATGTCTTGCTTTAGATAAACTGAAGGAAAAAGTGGAAACACTTCAATAAACTGTAACATAAAATTAAAAACTTTTCAAAATAATTTCAGTGTTATATTATTTCAAATTGTACCCGAATATTAAGACAAATATCCATCAAGAAAATAATTAATTCTAGTATTGATAATAAAACTATTACTCGAAAAATTATTTGTAATTTTAATTTATTCGACAGTAATTTACTCGAAAAATTAATTTTGTGATCAGTGCTACTCAAACCACTACTACTTATGTACTGTAAAGTACAATAAAGTGCAGGGAGCAAATAAAGATAGTGCCTGATGACAGACTTGACCAACTTAATGAATGACGGAGCGTATGTGATACTTATGAATCAATTTTTTGAATGCTTTGTAGATGTCGCTATCCTTAATTAAGAAGGATATGAAGTTCACAAGGCCAATTAACACACCTGTGGTTATGAGCAAGGGCAAGCTCATGCCTAGCATTCTTGGTCATTGGACACCCCATCACGGCAATTTGACATCGTGCCCATTAAGGCAAAAATGAAAGAGACGCCTGCACTGGTTTGACCACATCCAATGATCAGCCTTGGATACAGTGGCCAACATTGTCTACCACCTAGAAGTCAACGGCCGACGGCCATGCATAAGACCGAAATAACGATGGCAAGATGCTATCAACGCAGACCTAAGGGCTCTGCACCTGAACCCAGAGGCTGCACTTGATCAAACAAAGTGGCATTCGAAGATCCGAACAGTAGACCGTTTATATGTGGGACAACGTTAAGATAAAGTAGAAGTAGAAGAAGAAGAATGTGTGAGGAGGAGGCATGATTTTGTTCACCCCGTTTGAATCTTTAATAACTCCCGTGCTTTTTGTCGAAAATTTCTGGAATTTCTCAGGGAGGTTTGATTATTACAAAGATCGAGGATATTAACTATTAAAGTTTAATAACTTTGATAGTTAAAGGTCTAGGGGTGGGAAGTAATAGGGATCGTGTATATCTTCGGTATGGTCAAACTTAATGATTTCACACATTATTAGTATTTACAAATTTTTATAAAACTCATTCCTACCCTTAAAGTTAAGCACTTTGCCATTTTATAATAGTTAAAAATATAAAAAGTTTTAAAATAAAATATAATAACAGATGGCCTCGCCAAAAATTTAAATGTTACGAGGAAAGTTGAGTAACTCGTTGCTGATTTATTTTTTTACGAGTAATTTAGTGTATTTTCTATATGATAATTATATGATAATCAACTGTCTCCTATTAGTTTGTTTATATTTTTATACTTTGATTGTTGAATTCTGAAATTTTGTATATATTTTAGTAAAAAATTTAATTAAGTTTGTTTTTGAAGGTATCGGGATGGACGATTCTTTCGTATTGTTGGCTGCGTGGAGAAGAACGAATAAGAAACACAGCGTCCAGCAAAGAATGAGTGAAACCTTTTCTGATGTCTGTATTTCCATAACGATAACCTCATTAACCAATTTTATATCATTCATTTTAGGAGTAATAACTCCTTATAGAAATATTCGTATCTTCAGTATATACAGCGCCATATCCGTGTTATTCGACTATATTTATCAAATATTTTTCTTTGGTGCGGTGATGGCAATCGATGGATACAGAGAAAAACATAACTTTCACTCCGTATTTTTATATCACGTTCCAGAAGATGTGACAGGTATGAATTTAACTTTTTATGTTGTTTTTATTAATAATTAGGCTATAATCGAAAAGTGTTGAATGGACCGTTTATTTTGAAAGTGGTGTAAGTCCATTTTTGAGAAAAATGAGCTATCACGTAATTCATGCTTAATTTAATGTAAACTTTTTATATATAATTAGTTCGTGTTTAATTTCTCAAAAAAATCCCATGTTTTGTACAACTTAAAATCGGTCGGTAAATGAATTAGCATAACCGTCGATTATGAAAGTGGTGTAAGTCCAATTGACAGAGGTAGGTAGCATAGCAGATGGATGCCGATCAGTAATTTGTTATTTTTCATTTATTTTATATTATGTGTCAACAGTTGCTAATTTAGGTTAGTTATTCTATTTTTCTGTTAAAATGGCTAAGTTCATATTAACATCAGATAGTGATATAGGTAAGAACAAATGGTAAACCGCTATTATCTTATAACAATTGAAAATATTTATTTTATTTCATTATAAATAAATTTACACAGACATAAAGCCCATGAATATAAACAGAAGAATAATGTTAGATTCAGAGGATGAAAATAATTCCGCTAAGAAGAATAAATTAACGAATCGAAAAAAGAGAAGAAGAATTATAGAGGTAGAATCTTCATCAGATGAAGATATTGTTATTGAGAACTTGGATTATGCGAAACAAAACAAAGAAAAATATTTGCAACAAATAAACAAAATTAAGCGAAATAATGGACAAAAATACTATACAAAAAGAGGAAAATTCATTCCTGCAAAACAATTTGAATCCAAAAATTGTAATTGCTCGCAGAAATGTATAGAACGTATTAATGAAGCACAACGTATGGAAATTTTTGATAAGTTCTGGAATATAGGTGATTTTAATAAACAAAATGTATTTTTATATGGTAGTGTTCAACGAAAATCTGTAAATAGAAGACGGCCTAGAAATAATTCGGGCACTAAAAGAGCATATGCTTATAAATTTTACCTAGTCACTTCTGGTGGAAACATTTTAGTATGTAAGAAGTGTTTCATTAATACTTTCCAAATATCTACTGGACGAATTGATCGTATCCTAAAATCGCATGAGAACATTCCGAATGACATGCGTGGAAAAATGGATGGCTCTTGCAGAAGAACTAGTGAGCTACTGACGAATACAGTGATAGACCACATAAAAAGCTTTCCGGCATTTGAAAGTCATTACACACGATCGCAAAATCCAGAACGAATGTTTTTAAATCCGGAATTAAATATAAGAAAAATGTATAGTTTATATTTGGAAAAATGCAAGGAAAACAACTTGAGCTCAGTTAATGAATGGACATACAGGAAAATCTTTAAACGAGATTTTAAGTTACGCTTCCATTTGCCACGTAAAGATACCTGTGCGAAATGCGATTTCCTAAACATGAAAATTAAGACTATAACTGATGACGACGAAAAAACGATTCTTGTAGAAAGACATGATATTCACTTGCAAAATGCTGAATTATCAAGAAAAGCATTACAAGAGGATAAAATTCTAGCATCGGGAAATCCTGATAAATACTTTGCTTTCACTTTTGATTTACAAAAAGCCTTACCATACCCGAAATTGTCTGTCTCAATCGCATATTACAAACGAAATATGTACGTCTTAAACGAGGGTTTTCACAATTTACACAATAATAACGTTAATATGTATGTGTGGGACGAAACCATTGCGTCTAGGGGATCGCAAGAGGTGGCTTCATGCTGTTTGAAGCACTTAGAAAATGTAACGACCCAAAGCCATGTTATTGCCTACAGTGACATGTGTACTGGGCAAAATCGAAATTTACAAATGGCATTGATGTGGTTGAAGGTTGTCCAGTCGAAAAACAACATTGAGATAATTGACCACAAATTTTTACTCTCGGGGCATTCATACCTTCCGAACGATGCAGATTTTGGCATCATAGAAATGGCATTGAGAAAAATGAATTTTGTGTACACTCCACAAGATTACTATAATGTAATAGCGCAATGTAGAAAACAGGATAAATTCATTTTACATGAAATGAAACGGGAGAATTTCATTTCAACAAAAAATCTCCAAAATGCAATTAAAAAACAGATAAAAAAAATACTAATGGGGAACAGGTCAATTGGTTGCAAATATGTTGGTTGAGGTTTCTCAAAAGTGCACCATATACCATTTTTTATAAAACACCGATGAAGGACGCAGAATTTAAAATTATCAATTTATTACCTCTACGTCCTGGAAGACCTTTAAATTTTGAAAAAATAGCCCTGGAGCCTTTGTACCAAAATGCCAGACCTATTACGTACGAAAAATATAAAGACATGAAGCAGCTACTACCCTATATACCTCCGGTGCATCATGCATATTTTGAAACACTACCACATGCAGAGAATAAGTAAATTCTTGTAATCAGTATCTATCAGTATCTTGTAATTATGACAATGTAATTATCGTCTAAAATAAAATGTTATGTGTTGTTATGCGTATTTGTAAACAAAATTATATTAAAATGAAGTATATTTTAAGCGATATTTGATTTTTCAAAATTGAAATTAAACGATTTTTACAATTGTCTAATTTTGAAAGTGGTGTAAGTCCATTTACAGCACATAAATATGTGTTATCGTAGTCTAATTCGCCAAAAACAAATCTATATAATTAAATTAAATGTTGATAAAACAATAGAAACAATGCCAGACCTCATATAATTTGCCTGTATTTTTAAATCAACAAATATATTAACCTTTCATTTTTTCGAAACAACAGAAAATGGACTTACACCACTTTCAAAATAAACGGTCCATATATTGAATTCACATAAATGCCACCATTTGTTTAATTTTGATTTATGTTCCAAATTTTTAAAATTTAATGCATCTAAAAAAATGTTTGATTCTAAGCATTCTGTTTTTGGAATACAATTTGTTTAAAAACCTGAAGCAGACCTTGGGTAAGATTGAAAGCATTAGTTCAAAATTGTTTTAAATGCTATGTTACAGGAATTAAAGGTTTAGTAATGGTGTTCAAGAATGAGCAGTAACACAGTAGCATTTTGATAATTACAGAGATCAAGCAGAGTATTAAAATTCCTTGAGAAGTCAGATCACAGAATCACTTGGTCTCTGTATTACTGTAATGCAATTAGGATTTCTAACAGCAAGCAAGACCACAGTTTTTGGTACTCAAACTGTATTATTCATTGTCATGCAAGCTCATAATAAATTGCATTACAGATGTATTCAATATTCATGTGTTCTCAGAAAAAACAAACTTTTTAGAATGAATATTTCTCAATTCTTGTGTTTGAATATTCACATCTTTAGTTTTAATCTTTAGGTTTAATCCAAAGTGATTCACTTTGGATTAAACCTAGTAATAAAATGTTTCTAAGTAGGTAAAAATGATTTATTATTAAAAAAATTTTTAAAAATCTATATTATGACATTTATCTATAATATTTTAAAGATAAAACACAAAAAACTGAAACACATTCAAAATGGAAACATGTCAGAAATTAAATAAATTTGGTTAGGTGGAATTCTGATTTACAAAGGTTTTACTGTGTAACTATTTGTAATATAGTAAGACAATAAAAATATCTATATTACAAATATGAATCTTATAGGACACATTACTTCAATGTATGTTTGTAGAACATGCTATTTAAAGTATTTCCAATCAATTTAATAATTAATAACTAAGAAATGGCTGAATTACTGCCATAGAGAGTACAGGATATCAAAAATTACTTTCACAATAGCAGAAAAATCACTTTCTTACTATATTGTCATGTTACATCTGTTTAAACATAAAATATCATAAATTCATTTAGTACATTATAGTTAAAATCGTTTAAAAAAGATACATA